TTCACATGTATTTTGTTTAAAATGGCTTTGAGTGTTTCCTAAAAAACTGTGTCCTTGTTTGGTCCGTTCCTACAGTGTAGAACTGGTAAGGCAATGTACAGCTTTCTCTGGGGCTACCAAGGCAGCAAGGATAAAAATAGGGCAAACTTTAAGAATCCCAGATATTTTCGGATAACAAAGACTGATTTATGTGGACCGAGTTTGTGCTCAGACAAAACATAGAGAAGCTTTTGTGCTGCGATTAGCGAGGGTGCTGAGGTCAGTTCTCTTGTTGAGCATCAAGCTTTATTCTGTGGCTAAATCGCGCTTTGTACCCTAATCCAGAGAACCTTTGTATCTGCCTTATTAAAGTGTGTAGTTTATGTAATTGCTTTTGTTTTCCCGTTTAAGCCGTGCCAGATTCAATGAGAGTGACTCATTTTGTGACTGAGACAAACACTCGCATTTGGACCATGTTAAAAATAAATAAATAAGTGGCAGGTGCTGCTGGGCTAAATTCTGTGTTTTCATGTTGTAATTTCCTGCTGCAAGGGTTCATCTCTTAGATAATGTCTTCTCGGCCCCTGTAATCGCTAGCCCCAATCTGCCCAGTGCCCACGATTCATTGCTGCTCGTTTCTTGGCTGTTTATTTTCGTTTCCAAGGGCCTTTTACATGTTAACAATATCGTTTCAAGAGGGAAACATAGAAATGGATGGGGGAGCTGCAGTCAGCTGGATGACCAAGAGTGACACGAGAACTGTAGCAAAGGGATGTATTGCATTGTTCTCTCTTTTTGTTGTTTTCCCAGGGTGTTTTGTGCGTGTGTTTTGGCAAAGCTCGGGTTGTGTCTACTTTATTATATATCCATTCGGCTTTGGAGCTCTTTTTCTCAGGTGGAAGAGGTTTTGAAAGCATGCCTTTCTATTCAGTGTGGCCCGTGTATCTAATCTAATAACCTGAAAATTGTGACGACTTCACAGTCTTAGGGGAATTCTGTTTATTGTATAAATACTTCTATGTACTTGGCCCTGGGCTATGCACTGAGTATGTAATGGCAAATAAGTACACATGGTCAGTGTCTACTCAGACTTCACCATCTGCTTGGGAAGTTAGATACTAAATAAAGAAATACAAAGAAAAATTGGATCACAGGATTATAAAAATCAATACATAGGTAAGTGATGATATCCCTAAAATTATGCCCTACTCTACACTGGGAAGTGATGGGTTGAGGGTGGTCAAGAAAGAGAAACCTAAAGGTCAAAGTCTGCCTGGCAAAGAGAGGAAGGAACATTCTGGACTTAGGAAGCAGCATGTGCAAAGTTCCTGAGACAGGACACAGTTTGACATCCTATAAATCATATGATTAGCAGGAGAAGGGACAGCTGATTAAACTTAAGAGAAAAAAGAATGACTGTATTTAAGAATTTAGAGATGAACTATACAGGCACAATAATATGGTAGCATTTATATAGGGGCAGATAACCTTGCATACTGGCTTCCCTGGTCGCTCCGATGGTAGAGAATCTACTTGCGATGCAGGAGACCCAGGTTTGATCTTTGGATTGGGAAGATCTCCTGGAGAAGAGAAAGGCAACCCACTCCAGTGTTCTTGCCTGGAGAATTCCATGGACAGAGGAGTCTGACGGGCTACAGTCCATGGGGTTGCAAAGAGTTGGACACGACTGAGCTAATAACACACAACCCTGCATACATCTTACAGCCTGAGAGCTGCACTGAAGTACAGGATAGAAATTGATGCCTGTAATATTTAGTCTGAGTCATAGGGGGATGCATGAATTATGTTCAATGAATTATGTAGTAAGGCATTTTAGAAAGATTTCCTTGCACCAACCACATTAAAGTTTTAAAAAGTCATTTCTGTACTTAAAGACAGAACTTTCACCATCTGGAGGAATCACTTACAAAAAGATAATGATTCCTTGATGGCCCTGGATAAGTGACATAATACTGTGTTTTCCTTTTTCTTTACTTGTCTATTCCTTTTTAAAGCTTACTGCTTGATAAGGAGGTAGCCATGAGGGCATGGTTTTTACTAAGAGATGATATTTATTTGTTTTGAAATAAATAGACTTATGAATGGACTTATGAATGGACTTTTATAATCCAGAATCCAGTGCTAAATTCATGTGGATTTAACACTTTATAACTTTTCAGTATTATCTAAAGCCTCTGTAGAACTCCAACTGCCTTCTTCTGGACACTAATCATTTGCTTTTAACTTTGAGCTGCAGTCAGACTGAGAAATTAATTGAAAATCTTGACGATAGGGTCTTCCCTGGTGGTCCAGTGGTTAAAAATCCAGCTTGCAATACAGGGCACACAGGTTCAGTTCCTGGGCAGAGAATTAACATCTCTCATGGGACAGAACACCTGACCCCGTGCACCACGCTAGAGCGTCTGTGCTCCACAACCGAATATCCTGCATGCCGCAGCTAAGACCCAGTGCAGCCAAATAGATATGTTTTAAAATCTTGACGATATTAAAGAAGTACATATATAATATTTTAGGTCTTTGTGATTTTTCTACTTGATCTTCTCATTAAAGGATTGCATATGTTCTTCCATGAAGGAATGCCAGTCCATTTGACAGTTTGTTGTTATTGAGTCACTAAGTCACAGGTCTGACTCTTTTGCAACCACTTGAACTGTAGCCTGCCAGGCTCCTCTGTCTGTAGTCCTGCATATATTTTACTAGGGTTGCTATATTCTCAAATATGCGCAAGTATGACGAGTATTTTCTTCATAGCCAGTAGATTCTTGGAGAGAAAAAATCATGAATTTCCTATCATTTCTTCACACAAATAACCTAGCATGTCATTTATAGTATAATCAATAACTTATGGACTGATTATTTCATTGATTTAGTTCTTAATATATCTAAATTTTCTTGGGTGAATTCAATTTAAAGAATCTTTTAAAATGTGAAACCTAAAGTTATCACCCTAGTTGATTCAGTTACCAGAACAGTTGTCCGAATTATTATAGACCACATAAACTGGTTTTTGCACCACTCCAGTCCCTTAATTTTCATTTTCTCTGCCTCAGAGAACTGTCACAGCTTCCTAGCTGTGACTTAATCAATGAACTACAAGTCAAAATTAACTCGTGTCAGAATTTATTTAAGAAGGTGGTCATTATGGAGGCTGAGACTAAACATCTATTAGGGAAGTTTATGTGGGTTTTAGTTAGTCCTCCCCTCGGTTTACATGTATTTTTCAGGATAAAATAATGCAGGTTTGAGTGGATACTGCCATGCCTTTTGTGTTACAGATGCCAAGTTCTGCAAAAGAAAAAAAAAAGAGACCCTATCATGTCACTACATGTAGTAGTCCTTTCAGTGATTATAAATTTTGTAGATCTTTTGAAATAAAGGGATCAATATGTTAATGAAGAAACAGAAGTACTATCTGGGGAAGGGGGATTGGCCTACGTTATAGTACCAACGTCATGAACATTCTTTGTCTGACTAGACTGTTGTGTGTGTGCGTGTGTATTTGTGTGTGTGCACTCAGCTGCTCAGTCGTGTCCGACTCTTTGTGACCCCACGGACTGTAGCCCACCAGGCTCCTCTGTCCATGGGATTCTCCAGGCAAGACTACTGGAGTGGGTTGCCCTTTCCTTCTCCAGGGGACCCTCCTGACCCAGGGATCGAATCCATGTCTCCTGCACTCTCAGGCATATTCTTCACTACTGCACCACCTGGGAAGCCTGCATAGACTAGAGGTGGAGCACCAAACTCATATACTGCTCCGAAGAAAATTTCTGAACATGCCATAAGGATAAAGCTGTCAGTACCCCCAAGTTATCACTGGAAGAGACATACTCTGTCTTGTTACACTTTTCCAAAACTAGGGGACTGAGATGTGACTGGTGCTCCATCATGTTCTCCAGATGGGCAGAAGTGGACAGTGTCCATGAAGATTTGATTCCCTTGGGGTGCATACGTTACTGTTTCTCAATTCTTCCACTTCCTGGTGGTCTGACCTTGTATGTTCAGTCTAGAGCAGAGAATGACTCTTAGTAGGTAACTTGCATCTTGCTAAAATGGGCCCTTTTTGGTCTGACTGCACACTCAGGAAGGCCCTCACAGAAGAGTAAGGCTTCATTTCGTCTCTGGACCGAGATGTTGGGAAGTCAACCGTTTCAGACAATTGGTTGTGGTTTTTTTTTTTAATTTGATCAATGTTGAGGTTAAAGAGGATAATAGTGAAAGAATTTCTAGGCTTCTTTATGTATAATATGAAAGTCCTTTGCCCTTTCTTGAACTGAGTTGTATATTTCTGTTGTTACCATTAAGTTGTAGGAGTTCTGTGTATATTCGATACATTAATGTCTTAGCAGATATGTGATTTGCAAGTGTTTTCTCCCCTCTTGTGAGTTGTGTTTTCACTCTTTGATCATGTCCTTCTTTAAAATATAGAAGTTTTAAATTTTGATGCAGTCCAGTTTATCTGTTTTTCTTTTGTTTCCTATGCTCTTAGTATCATATTCAAGTAATCATTGTCAAATATAACATTGTGAAGCGTTCCCCTATGTGCTTTTCTAAGAGCTTTATAGTTTTAGCTCTTACATTTAGGTTTTTGATCCATTTTGAGTTAATCTCTGCATAATGTAAGGTGAGGGTCTAATTTAATTCTTTTGCAAGTTGATACCTGGTTTTTCCAGCACCATTTACTTTTTTATATTTAATGAAAACTAAATCTTCCTTGATTTGTTGACTTGATAGTATGTCAGTATAATGTCTTCTAATATCAAGCAATGTCTTCTAATACTTTATCAGATGATAGAGAATAATAAGTGTGTATACACACACATTATTGAGTTAATTGACGAGACACCAGTAAACTTGGCGGGAATGGTAGATTACTCTATGAAAACAAAACATCATATGTGACTTTCTCTAGTCAATGATTTTGTAAATTTGATTTGACAAATGTGCATCTGAAAAACTTCTCTCAGCTTAACACTGGGTGGATATTTTTGTTTTCTTCCTAGGCATGGAAGAGGAGATGGTTTGTGTTACGCAGTGGCCGTTTAACTGGAGACCCAGATGTCTTGGAATATTACAAAAATGATCACGCCAAGAAGCCTATCCGTATTATTGATTTAAATTTATGTCAGCAAGTTGATGCTGGATTGACATTTAACAAAAAAGAGTTTGAAAACAGCTACATTTTTGATATCAACACCATTGACCGGATTTTCTACTTGGTAGCCGACAGCGAGGAGGAAATGAATAAGTGGGTTCGTTGTATTTGTGACATCTGTGGGTTTAATCCTACAGAAGAAGGTAAGTTCAGGATTCTATGATTCTCCCTCAGTTCTCCTTTATTCCTGCATTTTAAAAGCCATTATAAAATTCATTGTTATTTCAGTTACACAATATATTTTTTATGATAGTAACAACATGTAGAAAAAGCACACCTCTCAATGTCTAGAGAGAAACTTTATGTAAATTTTAGAAGGAAAGACTATCATTGTGGGGCAACGTCTAAATAAGGTCCTGAAGATGACAAGAAGGCATACTTAAAATTTAAGAGTGTTTCTTGAGTTCCAGTGTAAATACTAAGTTAAACCTTAACACTGCTGATACTTGATATTTCAACCTATTAAAATAACATTTTCATGCGACTTAATTCTTTAGAAGTTTTTGAATTGAAGTATAGTTTCTGTACAGTATTATGTCACAGCTGTACAATATAATGGTTCATGGTTTTTAAAGGGTGTGTTCTTTATAAGTAAAATATTGGCTACATACTCTGTGTTGTACAATATATCCTTACAGCTTTTTTAATACATAATAGTTTGAATCTCTTAATCCCCTTTGACTCTCTTAATGCCCTTATCTTCAGGTCCCTTAACCTTATCTTGCCCCTCTCCCTTCCCACTTCCTACTGGTAATCACTAATTTCACCTCTGTATCTGAGTCTGCTTCTTTTTTGTTGTATTCACTAGCCTGTAACATTTTTTAAATGCCACATTTGAGTGATATCATAAGGTGTTTGTAATTTTTTTGTCTGATTTATTTCACTTAACATAACACCCTCCAGGTCTATTTATGTTGTTGCAAGTGGCAACGTGACTTTTTCATGACCAAGTATTATTCCATTATATATGTTATATTGATGGTATATATTACAGTATATCATATCACATCATGATATAATACATACATTATATTCCATTATATGTATATATATAAACACCACACCCTCTTTATCCATTCGTCTAATAATGGACACAGGGCTTATTTTTAAACTCTATTGGATTGTGGAGTTATGAAATAGCCAAGGTGACTATCAATACCTATGAAAAGAAAATTGAGAATCAGTCACAAAACATGATGAAAAAGAAAAAACATCTCAATTTACTTAAAACAGATGCCCTATAAAGCATGTGGAGGAAGAAGGGACCTGAGTTTGGAAACAGAGGTAGTGAAGAAAAGCTTCTTAGAGAAGACCAATTGTGAACTATAGGCTTTTGAAGGAAGTAGTATTCTGTCTACATGAATGAAAGGAGGGATGAAGAACCTGCAGGCTTAGGGGCTAGGGAAGGATGCAGTGGTGAAGTAGACTCCTCTTTGGTTGGAGAAGAGGACTGTGAATGATAGAGGCAAGGGAAGAGTTTCTTAAGTATCTAATATTTGGGTGCCTGTCCTGGAAGAACCTGTGGCAAAAGTCATGTATGGATGTGAGAGTTGGACCATAAAGAAGGCTGAGTGTCAAAGAATTGTTGCTTTCAAACTGTGGTGTTGGAGAAGACTCTTGAGAGTCCCTTGAACAGTAAGGAGATCAAAACAGTCCATCCTAAAGGAAATCAGCCGTGAATATTCATTGGAAGGACTGATGCTGAAGCTGAAACTCCAATACTTTGGTCACCTATAGTGAAGAGTAAAATCTCTGGAAAAGACCCTGATGCTGGGAACAATTGAGGGCAGGAGGAGAAGGGGGAGACAGAGGATGAGATGGTTGGATGGTATCACCAACTCAGTGGACATGAGTTTGAGCAAACCCAGGAGACAGTGAAGGAAAGGGAAGCCTGGAGTGGTGCAGTCCATGGGGTTGCAAAGAGTTGGATGCAACAAGACCTTAAGAAGAATTTTACAGGTGGAATTCCTCTTACAAATAGCTGTGAAAAGAAGAAGCGAAAAGCAAAGGAGAAAAGGAAAGACATTCCCATTTGAATGCAGAGTTCCAAAGAATAGCCAGGAGAGATAAGAAAGCTTTCTTCAGCGATCAATGCAAACAAATAAAGGAAAACAACAGAATGGGAAAGACTAGAGATCTCTTCAAGAAATTTAGAGATACCAAGGGAACATTTCATGCAAAGATGGGTTCGAAAAAGGACAGAAATGGTATGGACCTAACAGAAGCAGAAGGTATTAAGAAGAGGTAGCAAGAATACACAGAAGAACTGTACAAAAAAGATCTTTATGACCCAGATAATCATGATGGTGTGATCACTCACCTAGAGCCAGACATCCTGGAATGTGAAGTCAAGTGGGCCTCAGAAAGCATCACTACAAACAAAGCTAGTGGAGGTGATGGAATTCCAGTTGAGCTATTTCAAATCCTAAAGGATGATGCTGTGAAAGTGCTGCACGCGATATGCCAGCAAATTTGGAAAACTTAGCAGTGGCCACAGGATTGAAAAAGGTCAGTTTTCATTCCAATCCCGAAGAAAGGCAATCCCAAATAATGCTCAAACCACACAATTGCACTCATCTCACACGCTAGTAAAGTAATGCTCAAAATTCTCCAAGCCAGGATTCAGCAGTACGTGAACCATGAACTTCCAGATGTTCAAGCTTGTTTTAAAAAAGGCAGAGGAACCAGAGATCAAATTGCCAGCATTCGCTGGATCATTGAAAAAGCAAGAGAGTTCCAGAAAAACATGTATTTCTGCTTTATTGACTACGCCAAAGCCTTCGACTGTGTGGATCACAATAAACTGTGGAAAATTCTGAAAGAGATGAGCATACCAGACCATCTGACCTGCCTCTTGAGAAACCTGTAGGCAGGTCAGGAAGCAGCAGTTAGAACTGGACATGGAACAAGAGACTGGTTCCAAACAGGAAAAGGAGTATGTCAAGGCTGTATGTTGTCACCCTGCTTATTTAACTTATATGCAGAGTACATCATGAGAAATGCTGGGCTAGATGAAGCATAAGCTGGAATCAAGATTGCCGGGAGAAATATCAATAACCTCAGATATACAGATGACACCACCCTTATGGCAGAAAGCGAAGAGGAACTGAAAAGCCTCTTGATGAAAGTGAAAGAGGAGAGTGAAAAAGTTGACTTAAAGCTCAACATTCAGAAAACTAAGATCATGGCATCTGGTCCCATCACTTCATGGGAAATAGATGGGGAAACACTGGAAACAGTGTCACTTTATTTTGGGGGGCTCCAAAATCACTGCAGATGGTGATTGCAGCCATAAAATTAAAAGACGCTTACTCGTTGGAAGGAAAGTTATGACCAACCTAGATAGCATATTAAAAAGCAGAGACATTACTTTGCCAGCAAAAGTCCGTCTAGTCAAGGCTATGGTTTTTCCAGTGGTCATGTATGGATGTGAGAGTTGGACGTAAAGAAAGCTAAGCACCAAAGAATTGATGCTTTTGAACTGTGGTGTTAGAGAAGACTCTTGAGAGTCTCTTGGACTGCAAGGAGATCCAATCAGTCCATCCTAAAGCAGATCAGTCCTGGGTTCTCATTGGAAGGACTGATGCTGAAGCTGAAACTCCAATACTTTGGCCACCTCACGTGAAGAGTTGACTCATTGGAAAAGACCCTGATGCTGGGAGGGATTGGGGGCAGGAGGAGAAGGGGACGACAGAGGATGAGATGGCTGGATGGCATCACCTACTCGATGGACATGAGTTTGAGTAAACTCTGGGAGTTGGTGATGGACAGGGAGGCCTGGCATGCTGTGATTCATGGGGTTGCAAAGAGTCGGACACGACTGAGAGACTGAACTGAACTGATGTAGCTGTCCTGACCATTTAGATTCCTTGTCTGCTTCTCCACTTCTCTTCTTTTTAAAACAAACACTAAGAATCCGTGTAGGGGACTCCAGTATTAATATAGGTTCGCAGAGTCAAAAAGTAGAAATAAAGGCAGCCTGAGGTCTTTGACCCTGTTATCTTCATGGTTACATTCACATTGACAAGTGTGCATTTCCAAATATATGTACTTAGGAGCACTGGAGATTTGGTGAGGGGTGGAAAAATTGTGTTAACAATCAACATCAAGATTTGGATTGAAGTGAAAGAGTCGTCGTGTCTAATTAGCTCAGGTCAGCACACTGTCTCCTCTCTGGCCAGGCAGCTGCCAGGAGAAGGAGGCTTCTAGGCCTGGGATTGGCCCGGTGGGGAGGGGGAAGCCCCTGCTGACGGACTCCGGAATGCTCAAGGGACAACAGCGCCGAGAAAGGGAAGGAGGTGACTGATTTCGACAGGAGGCTGATGACGGAGCACTTCAGCAGAGTTCTACTGATTAAAAGCCTCAAGAAATTGTTGTGCATAAGGAATTAAAGCTTTGGTTGTTTTTGTCAAGTTACTAAGTATGTTCCCAGTTCAAGTGGACCTGTGGGTATTACTTCTTAATCCAGTTAAACTCCTTTCTTGTTTACATACATGATCTGTAGTTGAGTGCAGTGGAGGATTTTTAAGTTGAAGTCACAAATGAGATGGCTCTTTTTTTTTTAAATTTTTTATTCAATGTATCTTTTATTTTTTAAATTTTGTTTATTTTTTAAAACTTTTTATTTTATATTGGAATACAGTTGATTAACAATGTTGTGTTTCAGGTCTGCAACAAAGTGATTCAGTTATATATATACATGTATCTATTCTTTTTCAAATTCTGTTTTGTATATATGTATTTTTTATTTTTAATTGAAGGATAATTGCTGTACAATATTGTGTTGGTTTCTGCCATACGTCAACATAAATCAGCCATGCGCTGTGCTGTGTTGAGTCGCTCAGTCATGTCTGACTCTTTGTGCCCACCAGGCTCCCCTGTCCACGGGGATTCTCCAGGCAAGAATCCTGGAGTGGGTTGCCATGCCCTCCTCCAGGAGGTCTTCCCAACCCAGGGATCAACCCATGTCACCCACATTGCAGGCAGATTTTTTACCGTCTGAGCTAGCAGGGAAGCATAAATCAGCCATAGGTATATATGCATTTGTCCCCCCTTCTTGAGTCTCCCTCCCACCTCCCGTCCCATCCCACCCGTCTTAAGTTGTCACCGAGCACTGGCTTGAGCTCCCTGAGTCACACAGCCA